AGAAAGAAGGAATGGGCTTGCTGTGTTTAACAGAATTTTTTACAAGAATAAATAAGTGAAAAGCCTTAACTTATCTTCCGAGCCTCAAAGTTATTACACTGAAGCATTTCTTTTCAAGGAAGTGGTGATGTCACTCAACAAACAATCTTTGTATCAAAATTTTCTTCGCACAGTCCTACAGGTGAGGTGTCACCATGTGCTGAATCCTGCCACGAGCCCGGCGAGCAGACAGAACCGTGTCCGGACACCTGACAATAATCTACTGTGGCAGGCAAAATAGAAATTGCTTTCAATAACCTCTGGCAGGTAGCATTAGCTCCTAATCTGCCCTGACCTGTGGGAGGTACCATTTTGATGAAGAGTTGGTATCTTTCATATATTTGAAAGTGTTTGTAGGAGGCCTCTGCTTCGAGTCTTCTGCACAGACGTGATAACTCCTGAAATTCGGATCTTTATAGAAATTGCCTGAATTTTTTTTCAACTCCTTGGGAGTTGTTTATATTTTTAATTATAAATAGGAAAAAATACAGAGAAAAATGATGGGGTTTTTTCCTCTGTGTTTTCAAGCAGTGTGATGAGCAACTGGATAAATGAGCAGGCCCACTTCCTTTAAAAATGGGCTGCCCTCTACCTGTGAAAAGGTTAATAGCTAAAAGCTCCTGCAGTGAAAAAAGGTGTCATTCTTCTCCATTTACTTGAGAAAAAAACATGCTATTTTTAAGCATCTTGTATGAACTCTCTAGCCTTAAAAAAAAAGGGAAAACAATTATTACAGACTATTTGGCACATTGCTTTTAAAAACCAGCAGATCTAATCCTATTCTTTACATATTGTCTTGTAACTTTTCACGGGATCACAGCATGGCTGAGTTGGGCAGGGGCCTCCACCCCTCTGCTCAGAGCAGGGTCAGCCACAGCAGGTTTCCTGAGACCGTTTCCAGCCAGACTTTTAATATCTCCAGGGACGGAAATTCTCTGGGCAGCCTGTTCCAGTGTCCGATCACTGTTACCGTAAAAAAGTATTTTCCTTTCTTTAAATGGAATTTCTCATATTTAAAATAGCGCCCATTGCCTCTTGTCCAGATGCTCCAAGGCCTTAATCACCATAGTGACCCTTCTTTTATTAACTCCTACATATTAGGAATAAATTGGTTTTGTTGACAAGTCAACAAAAAGGGGTGAAGGAGGTAATGGTGACTTAAATATGATACATTTTTACACATATCTATGTTACTGTCCCACTGATTAAGCTCATAATTTTGCTTCATATTCATTTTTATTTCTCTCTTCATCTTTACTTCTTTAAAATAGAGAACAATTCTAAGTTAATAAAAAATAACTATTGTTTTTTTTTCTTCTGCGCTCAAGTCCTGCAGTATAAATTCATTCTCTTGATTAGATAATAATTCCCACTACTGTTTTTAATATGCACTGTACCTTGCTCCTCTTGACATATGAATCTTCTTCATATACGTCACGGGAGAGGCCAAAATCAGAAATCTTCATTTTGCGTCCTTCTGCCACCAATACGTTTCTGGCTGCTAAATCACGATGGACGAGCTTTGGAAGAAACCAACAACAGTATTTATGCTTCTTGTGGAGGAACTGACTGCTGCCATGTCCGTCTATCACAAGGACATGCTCAGATCACAGCCCTACCTTCATTTCTGCAAGGTACTGCATTCCTCGGGATATCTGCCATGCAAATGAGATCAGATCTCCCATTGTTAAGGCTCTCTCATCAGGGTTATCCAAGTAACTGGAATTTCTGTTGCCATCACTACCCACGTAGCTTGGTCCTACTTTTCGACTTTCCCTGAGAAAACTGCGCAAGGAGCCATATTTAGCGTATTCCACAATTAAATACAGCGGGCCTGAAATAAAAACACTGATAAGTAAACGACAGATAAAACCTTTTTTCGTCCAACCCCCCCAAAGTCTCTCCTAACCAAAAAATTGTTTTGAATAGTCAGAGGCTCCAGACGCCTCTGGCCTTTATGTAAAAGGCACTTAATCAGTCACAGGATCATGGAATATTTTTGGCTTACATCCTCTATGCAAAGGGAGTGAGTTGCAGTCTAAATCAAAGCAGAATTCAGGCTCTTTCCTGTATTCCCTCATCTAGATAATTTGAGACTACAAAAGAGACCATCTTCTTACAAACCAGATCTGTAAAACAGCCTAACTTAGAGAAAGTTTAAAAAAAAAAAAATTAAAATCAAAATACTTTTCTGGATTGTGTGATACTGAGCTCACAAATCATCTGCTAATTCCAGTCTTGTATTTAAGGTGCCTTTTCAGAGCACTTAGAAACATTCTGACATTTCAATCCGTTAGTTTCTCTTTCCCATTACCCACATGAATAATATCCACTCCGTGCTTTAATGCTAAATACATTTGTCTGCTGAATCAAAGCCCTCCCACCCCATACGCTAATAATTAACTTGATATTTATTAAAAGTCTGTGACTCAGAAACAATTCACTTCCTTTGGGATGAAAAAATACATTGTACTGAAAAGAAAAAAAAAAATATACATCCCACCTCACTTACAAAGACTCAGAGATGACTCAGTCCTGAATTATAATCTCTGTCTACAACTAGAAGTGCCACTTGCAACAGAACTGGGTGGGCAAAGAAGGCAGGCCTTTGCCCAGGGTCACAACATGCCTACTGTAACTTTAGGCTGCATAATTCAAGGTGCAAAAGGGAGAGGGTGTTGCCATGCAACTTGATTTAATGTGAACAGAAATTATTCAGATCAATTCCTATGCACAACGATGACAATCATCTTCATTGGCAATTTATAATACACGTGTCTGGAAATTTTCCCTCTTGAAGTATACCTTTCAGTGACTGTGGCTTTTAGCAAATAGTTCACAACAAGGAGGAGACGATAGTTTTGTGACAGAGGAGGAGAACTGAGTAGCAATCTAACTATCCAGCTATATTTTAACAAATGGAACTGTAGTCGTGTGTTTTTTTGGTGTGTTTCTTGGGGTTTTTTTTGTTTGTGTTCTTTTCCCAAAGAGAGATCTCACTGCCTGGCTCAGGCCTCAAAGCATTGTTTTAGTATTAATAATTACATCAGTCATGAAAACCCCTTTACACTTTAACTCTGACCCATATTTGAAAACACTGAACATTAA